GATAAATAAAGCTTCTTGAATCTTTAATCTAGTTATTATATAAAAGCCTCTCACGTCTCAGATCTGTAGCTTTAATACAGTCCTAAATAATCAGACTCCTCCGTCAGTTAGGATGAATTTTTAATGTTGTTTTTGTCTTCAACTCCTGAGAAAAATTTCTTTTTAGCTGCAAGATGTTGAACTTCTTCACCAGCTAGTTGCTAAAAGTTTCTGCCGTTTGTCGCCTTTATCTTTTAACCATCTTTAAAATGTGGTTGTTAACAGCAGTGGTTACATGTTCAGCAGGTATAATGTTTTACATTTGTACCAATTTAAATCAAGTTTTCATTCAGACTCACTTTCTTCCTGTAGGTCTCCAGCAGTTTCTCCGTCTCCGCAGCGTCTCTGGCGTCGGTCAGCAGCGGGACGGTTCCCTCCAGTCTGAACGCCGTCTTCTCCACCAGCCTCCAGCACTCTTCGATCTCTTCCTCCACTCGCTGCTGTGATTTCGGACTCATCGCTCTGACGCTGACGTCTGCTGCTTCATCGCCGGTCACCTCCCGACCCAGAGAGATTCCCAGCATGCTCTCATACCTCCTCCTCCTCTCTTCCCGCCTCTTCCTCCTCTCCAGGTCTCCCAGCTCCAGCGAGCACAGAGGTTTAGTCCTCGGAGGGTCTGCGTCCGGAGCCGGTTTGTTCTGAGGCCTGAACTCGGCCCAGTCGAAGGTTCTGTAGCGTCCTTCCCGACGTTTCTCCGTTACGGTCCTGCGTTTGGAGTGAGGGTCTCTCTCTGCGGAGAGGTCGGCGGAGGGGGAGTCCCGAGTCACGTCTGGTTTGGGGAGGGCTTCAGGGGGGCTGCAGGGAGCGTGGTGGCCCGGTAAACTGCACATGGAGGAACAGTTAGACGGAGAGGAGTGAAATTATTATTTGATTCGTCGATCGACAGTAAAAGTAACTGACAATGTCATTTTTCAGGGTTTCTTGTTCTGAAAATGTGACGATTTTCTGCTTTTTAAATCGCAATCAATAAAATAACTTTGAGTTTTGGACTGCTGATTTAGATTTTAAAATATCAGCTCAGAGATCTGCTTCGAAGCTTTGGTGACCCCTAGTTGAGGTCCTGACCCCCAGTCACTCTCATCAACTGTCTGAGGCTAAAATAAGTAATTTTATTTAATTTTTCACCCAAAAAAAGAACAGATTCAAGAGAAGTCTGAAAAACAAATGTGTATCTTCTCCTTCTTTCGTCTCCAATGAATCATCTCACACCCCCTCAGATTAATTAAAGAGGGTCTGAATGAGACTTGTACCTGGCTACATCGGGGGCGTTGGCCGGGTGTACGTTCCTCATCAGAGCCTGGATCCAGTTCTTGCGTATCCCTGAAGTCATGGCCGACAGCGTGTAGACATCCTTCGGCGTCTGTGACGTAAACACAGTGAACTTGTAGTGAAAGCAGCAGATTAAAGGTTTCGTTCTGTTCAGCAGGAACTGTTTTCTTACGTGGATCTGAAAGCCGTAGTTCCTCTGGACCTGGTACTCAGACACATTATAACACTTTGTGAGGTCGATTTCTCCTTCGAGATCTGAAGCCTGACGGAGAGAAAAACAGCAAATCTTAGAAGAAGAAATGTTTATTATTTATTATCTATAAAGAAAACTAATGTGAAAATACCTCCTCGGCTATGGAGTCCTTGTAGTACCTCAGACTGTCGGTCGACAGCACAAACCAATATTTCTTCCACTAGAGGGAAGCAGAGGATCAATGAGAGAACAAAGAGGTTCAACAACCTGAATCTGAACGTAAAGAATCATTCAAATGAAGAAAATAACGTCAATGTTCCTTCGAATGATTGTTTACCTGATCGGTTTCATCCAGTTTGACCATCCAGCCCTTTTTGAAGTTTAATAAATCTGGCTGTAAAGACGACAAACACGTTATCAGACGTTTTTTTTTATTGGTGTCAGTTTAAGTGTGTTCAGAGTAATAAATAGTGTTTGTGATGAGTAATGTATCTATATAATGTGTTTAATTATAGTTAATATGTGAGATTCTTCCATGATGGCATAAATAGAAGTAATTTACTACAATTTTAAGGTGCTTATGCGTCTTTATTTGAAGTGTTCAGAGTGCGAGAGGTCTGTTAACATACAGTACGGATTGTGTTCAGGTCTTTTAAAGCGTAGATCTTGAATAATAATCTTTAGAATTTAGAAATAAAATAGAAAATTTAATCTAGTTTCATTCACAGAAATTAAATAAAAGCGGAGATTTAACCGTACTGTGTTTATTAAAATCAAGAAGGACTCGCTGGTGAAGCTCTGGCGACCCCTGTTGGAGATTTAATGAACGATGAGTAACTGGTAGTAAAAGTTAATGCCGACTCACCGTCATGACTGTGTCTGACGTCCTGCGGTCCAGAGACCTGGATCTTCTCTGAGGTGGGGGTGCGGTGAGCTGGACTATGTCTCCACACGACTGAAGCTTCTGTGTGGAAAAACACTGAAATTAGAACAACTGCTTTTATAAGAACCCAAAAAACAGGTACACGGGTCTGATCTTCGAGCTACGAGACTTTAAGAAAAGACGGACACTGAAATCTTCTGCCTGCCAGCTGGAGCAAACACAAGGTTTAATGGTTTTAAAAGTTATACAAAACTTTAAAAGGTTGATGTGAAGACGTGACGTGTTTTCTGAACCGGGCCAGTGGCAGTTTGTCAGCGCGGCCTGCATTCCTTCAACCGGAGTAACCGATAGTCTGGATCCTTGGCAGAGCCGTCAGCTGTGAGGATTAGGCCTCTGTGGAGCACCGCGGGGAGCCCAAACACTGCCTGTTAAACTCTTCCTCACATCCCCAGTGAGCTGCACAGGGACGGCTGCGTTCGGGCTCAGGAATGCCTCAAAAGGTTTTTTTTTGCTTTCACACATAATCCCTGATACTGCGCGGCTTTAGAGCGATGCTACGAGATTCCTGCACGCGTCTTGCGGTCAGGTTTCACGGATCGGGATTGACGCAGCATTTAATGAAACAAGGGAGCAGCTTTTTTTTTTTTGTTTACTTGATCCTCTGCTATTCAAAAGATTCATTCTTCCCTCTTATATAACCACTTTAACGGGAAAAAATGACCACTTTAATCGTTACAGAACATTCTTTGTGTGTGTTTTTTTCCTCTTTCTGGCATTTACATTGAAAACTATCCAAGGACACAACACACGGAGGAACACAGCGATCTGGCTGCTGACCGCTGCAGACAGAGCCGGACCTCTGTTTGGTGAAGAAGCCTCCCAGGGCTGTGAGGAGGAGGAGGAGGAGGAGGAAGAGGAGGCTGTCTTGGGAATCTCAGCTCTGAGGCCTGAATGGACTCCGGACAGGACTCTCTTTGACCTTCTCCTGGCTATCAAAACAATCCCAAAGACACATAATTCATCACGTGGGGATAAAATGTGCTGCTGGTGTATTTAAAGGGCAAATCCTCTGGAAACGAGGCTGCGCGTTTAATCAAAGATTAACGGTGACGACCATCTGTGTCGCAATGTCAGGGCGAAGCGCTGGTTTCCTGGACTGAACCACAACCTCCTTCCTTAAGGGACCTCTTCACTGTCACTGACCCCTGATTCAGTGTGTAACAATAACAGCTGATAAACTGCACAATGAACCCAAACAGTGACCGCAGCAGCTGCAGGAAGTTTGTGTGAAACGAGCGATTTTGGAGGAATTTTGCATCAGAGACGAGTTTTTCTGATCATTTCAGGAACTTTTTATACAATTCTCTGTTTGTGTTGTTGTTGTTTTTAGTTTTTAACTCTCATACAGACTTAATAGACTTCTGTTTTGATGAATTCAGTGTTTTCTTCTCATTGTTTTAGTAGCTTTTATTATTCATCAGCTCACTGGTTGTTGTAACTGAGAGGGTGAAGGCTCTGTGAATACAGCTTGTGTTCTTCAAAGTGGAATGAAATTATATGTTTTAGATAAGTTTCCACTGTTTTTAAGAAATCATTTTCCCTTTTCTAAAAGTTTCTCCTGACAGCATTTATAAGAAACTGTGCCTTAGTTTAGTTTACTTCCTCAAAGTAACACTGATTTAGCTCATAAATAAATAACTTTATTCTCACTTTCTCAGCCTATTAAAAGAAGAGAGTGTAAGTGTTTGTACATGCAGTCAGCAGTTATCAACCACAGCAAATGTAAATTATATCTTTAACAACAGGCTGTATGAGTGTAGACGTCTGCAGTATTTCCAAAATAGATTTGACACTAAAGGTTTGCTGGAAGAGAAGAGAACGAGGGGTGAACAGTTTCAAACTAAACAAGAACTCAGGTTTAGGTAATCTGAGGGGCTTAAATACAATAAAAAGCAATTCATTTCCAGGATATTTGGTCATTTGAGTCAATTTCCAGGTGTTTCTAGTCTCTAAACGTCTGGATTTTCCAGGAAACTGCATCTTAAACCTCTTAAAATCAAGAAAGGCCTCCGAACCCCTGATGAAGCCTCGTTGATCCCTGGTGGGAATAAGATATTAACACAGACTGTAACTCTGAACCACCATCACCAACTTCAACTGGCTCTCTTTGGGTCACAGAACACCGGAGATCTTGAATAACTGGAATCATGACTCTGAGATTACCAGTTAAACGAGGCTTCAGGTTCCTTCTCAGGAAATATCTGTTTCATAAAGGAGCTTTAAACTCGTCTTCAGTTAACACTGAAACACTAAACTGTCTTTAAAAGTCCACTGTGGAACATTTTGCACTTTCTTAAACAAACAACTTTATTAAAGAATATTTAAGTTGAATA